ACAGGAATGAAGAAAAATCTCCTTTTAGCCCCTGCCGCAGCGCTGCCAATGGCCTCAGGACACTGCTGAAGGAACATAAAATTCCTCCCACCAGCTCTCCCCTGCAAAGCCTGGCGATAAATAAGGAATTAACTCCCACCCTGGGAGTCGTTGCACCGAGCTACAATTCATTCTGCAGGCAGCGGCGATGCCGCTCCCCACCGGGCTCCCTTCCGATGTGGCCAAACACAAAATCAGTTTTCCTGCCACCAGCCCTGACACTGCCTGAGCTCCTGCCCTCCCTGTTTCATCCCCTAGAAATATTTTCCAGGGCCGCATTTGTCAAACCGCTCTCCCCAGGACCCCCGAACGACGCAGCCTGGGTTAGCGACGCAGGTTTTGCACCACTTTGCTTCCCGTGGGGACCAAATTCTGGCACGTAGCCGGGAGGGTGAAGACCTGCTGAAGGGGACAGCAGCGGCGGGAGTCTCTGGGCTCACCAGAGATCCCCAGATCCTCAGATATCTCCCCTATGGTGTATCCCAGAGGACATGGAAGGAGAAGAAACTCAAATCTGCCCCATTTTCCATCTCCAATCCATCAAAGTGTCTCCACAGTGGGGACAGGCAGCAGCGCCTGCGAGCCTGCAGCCCAACCTCCCGCAGCACAAACCTTCACTTTCAGTGCTGAAACTACAAGATTTCTCTAACCTGCAACCTGAAAAAAGTGAACCACCACCACCCAGACAGAAGATGTTGGACCCGGACAGGACACAAACAAGATATGAAACTGCAGCCACCGCGACCAGCAAAGGACAGACCTGACCTACCCACCCTCAGAATGCCGATAAAACATGTAAAAGACATGTGTGGCACTTGATCTCTCAGCAAAGTGCAGTCTTTTGCTGTGCAGCTTGCTTCTTGCATCTCAAGGCACTGAAAAAAAAAGAATCAGCACAGCCTAAGCACGCTCGCGAGCGGGGGATTGAGTTTCTCTGCCCAGTGCGGGCTTCTGCACGGGTCAGGCTGGAGAGACGGCGCTGCAGCCAGAGCTCCCAGGTCCTCCCTCTGTCCCCAGCAGCACAGACCCCTGAAACACCCACCCACAGAGCCCACAAACACCCTCTCTGTTCCGCACACCGGCTCCACGGACCTGCTGCTGCTCCAGGGCTCAATCACACAGCTTCGCGGCGCCTGCCCACGCTGCCCTTCCTCAGGGACGCACCAGTGGGAGAACCCCTGCCCGCAGCAGGGACAGCTGGGGGGGGGCTTCACACAGCCATTCGCACGCTCTAGTACCTCATTAAAGAGCTAAAAACCTCATTTATTTGCCAGTGCGATGTTAACAGTGACATATTCCTGCCCAAAGGGTTCCTCCGTGCCAGATGGGAGAGATCTAACCGGGATTTTCACTTAGCGCTGCCTCCCGAAGTGAAGACCATGGGCTGCACTTGATGGCCTCAGAGGTCTTTTCCAGCCTCAGCAATTCTGCGATCCTGTGACCTAGAGCTATTATTGAGCAAAACAATCTACCTCCTGGAGATCAAAAAGACCCGTGATTTCCCCAAAAGAGAAATTCCCTTCAAGGTGTCTCAGTCCGGGCCCATCCCCAAGCTGGAAAATCCAGCCGGAGCTGCCCCGAGCCGACCGTGCCACCACGCGGTGGGGAAAGAGGAGCTCCCCCGGGACGCAGAGCTCAGCTCATGCACTTCAGAGTGTCCTAGTATCTCTTTTCCAGCAACACCACAGGCAAGTGAGGATTTGGAGGAGAAAACTATAGAGCATATACAAAAGCATCAGAGCATGCCTGCGCCAGCTCCGAGAAGTCAAACGCCATCCTCTCCTTCACACAGTGAAGCGAGGTTGATATTTGGCCACGCAGCTAAGAAGAATGACTTCCCTGAACAGATTAAGAGGGCCGGCTTGCCAGAGATGTTTATTTTTAAATAATATCTCTTTAGCCTCTTCCTTTCTTCAGAGCGGAACTCGCTTGGCTCAGAGCTGCCCTAACATGCACATAAATGAGCAAGGATTTCGTTTCAGCCAAGCGAGAAGTAGAGCCTATTTTTGCCAGAGTCCTACCAAGCCTTTGAATAAATGGGAGCATTTCTCGTGCCGCCAGCACAGCTTCTGCCCTTTTCATTTCACGCAAGTTTTCAGGCTGCTGTCCACGATGCATTTTCTGGAGGTATAAAGGGAAAACCCACAGGGCTGGCAGATTTGCTGGGGTAGCAAGGCAGGACACAAGCCCAGCTGTACAATTCTGGTTGCTCCCTGGACCTGTGGGAACAGCTCCAGATGGATTTCCTTCTGCAAACAGGGCAATATTTTCCAGTTAGATTTTGGGATATTCATAAAAAAAAAAAAATTTCCCCCGCCCTATTCCTCTCAAAAACTGAAGCAGCACTCCAGCTACCACTAAAGGAACACGACACGGAGTTAATTTGTAAATGATGGTCTGTTTGATCTTACTAATTGAGGCTTTCCTGCAGCCTTGCCCTGCTAGCCCCCACCCCCTCAGGCATTACTAGAATAACCCAACAACTGACTGGATTAGCAAAGCATCTTTCCATCCCCAAATTACTCTTCGCATGTATTAGAAACACAATAAATAACACTATGGTTGTAGTCGCTGAGCTCTGAGCACCACCCAAGTGCTATCAAGACCTCAGAAGTCCCACAGGGATAAGGATTACCTGGAGTCCCTTTTCTCCCTGGGCTAAGACGTGTCCTTGTCCCGAGATCACCCCCCTGCGCAGGCTGGGGTGTCCTGTGGCAGCAGAGCTCTGCCACCGCCAGCCCAGGGCACACCAGTTGGAGAGAGCCCATTTTTCTGCAAACCACAGGACAGACACTTTGCTCCCACCACAAACCAGTTTGCCCCAGGAACAGCCCAGAAACACCCGCTCCTCATGCAGAGACCGGCCAGTCCCTCCTCCTGCTTCCCTCACGCTCTCAGCCTCGCCAAGTCCCCACCTCCATTTACATTCCCTTTCACCGGGTGCTTAAATCTTCCTTACGAGGCAGCCGGGTACAGGCGTGCGCTCGAGCGTGCCAGCCCGTGGGACGCATCCTGGCGCGTGGCCGGAGCCGAACCCTCAGAGGACGCTGAGCGCCCGGCTGGCGCAGCCTCGGGCCCCCGTGCGGGCGAAGGCAGCCGCACCAATGCGGGCGGGATCTACCATCTGGATGGTACCAGCCCGGAGCAGCAACCTTTACAAGATCTAATGCCTTCGCCTGCTTTAAAAATTAAAGGTCTATCATAATAAAACACATCAGCTGCAATGTTATTTCCCGATTTGCCGATACCTAGAGGTGAGATGTGGGGCAGAGCCCAGGCTGACGACTGCTCGGGGGCATCCCAATGGGGTGGCCGAAGAGGAGCGAGGGGAGGTGGCAGCCTGGGGACAGGCAGCAAGAGGCACCAGCAGCAAAGCCCAGCTACGAAAACATTGGGAACCACCAAACTAGCCGGGGGTAACCAGAACAGGAGCACCAACACACCAGTTGTTACCAACGACCCTCGTACATCTATAGCCTGGCACAAAACAATTAGGGAACAAAGTCCCAAGTCCTCTGGATTAACCTAAAAAAAAGACAGTAGGATGATTATGTAGGAACTAAATTTAATAGTGCCCTTTATTTAAGTGCTATAAAACAAGAATCCAATCCCATTGGCTCAGGCCCTGTAAAGCCAACGCGAAAATACTGACATATCTTTTGACGGATTGATGTCCCTGGTTTTTACTCTCTTGAGTGCAAGAGCGAAATTCCTGGTTACACACACAGTGCCTACAGTTAACAGCCACCGAAAGAGCTGCCTTCGCCCTCCTAAGTGCAATCTCTCACCTGTTGTCAAACTGTAGAGATGAAGCTTCTAACGCAAAGTTTAGAAGCAACCTACGGATAAAATAGCAGCATCAGCACGTGCATAAAAATTACACTGTTAAAATAAAATTAAAAATTACAGCCTTAAAAAAAAAGACAAACCACCCAAAAGATCAAGATTTTGATCTCATTTGTGTTCTGTTGCTTTCCTTAGCCTAAAAGCCCTCCACCAACGTATTCCATCCTAGGGAGCTCTCCTTCCCACCTGGGCCAGTTTAAAAGCATCAGGTACTTAATTTTAAAGTTGCTAAGAGATAAGCATGGGGAAGGAAATCATCCTTCAGTAAAATAACTCCCAAATATGCTGCGTCTCAGCTTTGAGAACAAATTCCACAGGCGAAGGAGAACAAACCCCAGCTCTCCTGGTTCGCAGGTGTCCTCGGTGCACCGAGACTTTCCACGTAACAGCATCTCCCAGAGCTCCAGATCCCAACAACGTTCAAATGCTCGTTGCACGTTACAGGGAATATCACACCACCCTGACTAAAGCCCTTGATGCTGGCGGGACTCACACTGTGCAAAACTGAGGGATAAATGAAGGAGAAATAAAAAAAGAGAAAGAAAGGCATAGGGAGTGACAGCGATCACTCCAAAAGCAAGATCTCATCCCCGTAGAAATTTTGCCATCAACTCCAACGGGAGCAGGATTGCGTCCTCATACACAGAAGTGCTTTACCCATGCATTAAATAAAAGAAACAGTTACCCTCTGAGATAAAACCTGGCTTCAACGTATTTTTTTTTTTTTCCTGATATAGAGAATGCAAAAAAGCAAGGAAAAAAAGTCTCTGGGGCGAACGACCCGCAAGACGACGTTTGGTTCGCGGCGTTACAAAACCACACTCATCAGCCAAGACACCCGACTGCGAAGCCGACGCGTGAAGCACAAGTGGAGAGCAAGGCACGCACGGCGAGCACGTGGACCCTCGCACGAGGGACGCGGCCGAGCCAGCCCTCTGCCAGCCGCGCTGCCCGAGGACTCACTCTTCTCCTTATCGCTGCTCGGGTCCTCCTGTCTGGTTTTCTGGGTTGGTCCGTTCTGGTGTTTTTTGTTGGTTTATTTTATTTTTTCCCTTTTTTTTTTTGCTTTACAGGCCCTGGACTTGGTGATGAGGGCAGATGTGTGCTAGACAACACCACGATGGGTACGACAGCAGCAGCACAGGAGCGACCAGCCGGGCAGCTTCAGGATGTAGCTTCATCTTCGCACACGTCGGGCAGCTCCGGGTCCCGGCTTCCTTCTCTGCTCCCTTGTTTTCTACGCAAACAGCAGTGAAATAAAAGAGATTATCAGCACGTCAGCAATGTAAGAAATAAAGCAGGGGGTGTTTTTTTCCAAACAGGCAACCCAGGTCAACAACATGAATGTTACAAGGGAACAGCAAGGAACCAGTCTGTTGCGCTGGTACCACGTAAACAGCTCAGAGATATCCCGGCTCGTTGCGCTGCAGTGCTGCACAACTCTCGTCTATACACCTGCTCCATCTTTGTGCCCTGAAGATTGAACTTTTTACTTCCCCAAATTCCCTTCTCCTGGCTGCAGCACCACAAGGAGGTTTCTATCAACTCCTGCAGACGAGCAGCAAGGTTTCCTAATTATCTAGTTTGTATTTGGGGAGGTCTAGATTGCTTTTATCAGTTTTTTTTCTTTTAATGAAAGCAAAAAAAATAAAGCC